TTAACGCTCAGATTTTCAAACACTAAAAACTGTTCTTTTTAAATGTTCAGTGCTTGATTTAGTGTTTGAAAATCATTTCAAGCACAAATGATATTAAAAAACATTGATGAGCTTTGAAGTCATTCTGTAAAGTGAACGTATCTCAAATTTTGTAAATTTCCTCCATCTTTTACTCAAAATTAAAATATTGCATAAAATTTTAAAAAAAGTAAATTTTAACAAAATTTCTTTTTTTTTTGGACAATAAAAATGTTATTATTTGGATAATCAGGCAGTTTAATCTAATATTTTAAAATTATATATTAATAAAGTTCAAGTATAATGTTATTTTGTGTTTTTCTCAAAATGCATTTTTCCGATTTTTCAACCATCGCAAAACACAAAATCTCAAACATTTTTCATTAGACTTTCCTCAAATTTTTTTTGTGCATTCGTATTAAATGGTTCTAGGGAATGAACCTTGCTTTTGGATCTAAATTGATTTTCTCACATTTTGTAGGAGTTATCTTGAAAAAAAAGTTTCTGATTTGTAGCAATTTTACCCGCTACTTTATTAAAATGGTTGCTAATTTTTAAAATATTGAATTACAGAGCTATAAGTGGTTCATTCCCGGCAGCAGTGGTTTCTAATTCTCTAACACTTTACAGAATTGGAAAATATCAATTTGTTTTGGACTTACCATGTTTTGCATATACATCAAATTTTGACACTTTTTATGCACTTTTTGACTCATAAAATAAAAAATTCAAACTAAAATAATAATTTTTGCTGTTTATTTTAAGTTTAAATAGCTCCTGCAATAAATAAACCAAAAAAAGTATACGTCAATCAAAAATTTCAAAATTTTTGATTGAAAAATTTTTGAATTCAAAATTTTGATTTTTTGATGAAATTCTTTACATAATAATGATATGGAAAGAAAGTAAAGCAATATAATTTTCTGCGTAAAAATTGAATCATAAAATAATGTAATCTTTTGTTGCATTATTTACATATTTTTTTTTAAAAAACAATTCTTCAGTTTAAAGTGGATTATGAAAAATATAAAATTTTCAATCAACAGATATAAATTATAAATGGATAACAGTAAAAATATTCAATAGCTTTATTTTCCTAAAAACGATTAATATGTTTTAAGGACTGTATCATAAGAATGTTAAACAATGAAGTGAAGTTCAATTAAATTATCACTTTCAATTAAGATCTTAAACAAACTATTCTGACATGCAAGGGAGACCTAAAATTATTAATCTGAAGAAAAGAAAAAGCAAGACATTCTTTTCTAACATGTTACCCACTTGTTCGTGACGTCGCAATTCTTACTTGAAGGCTTGTTCACCCTATCTAAGAGTTATTGGTTAGCTCCATCAAAATGTCCTCCACAAGGGCACACCCAATGGAAAAAGCACCCGGGGTATTAAGAAAGGAAAATCGAAAATAAGCACATCCTGAAAAAGCTAAGCACCATGCTGGTAAGATCCCCAAAGAATGAAAGTTGAGGATATACAAGAATCAAGTAAGTGTTAAAGTTATGTTTGAGGGTATTTTTTTTTTCTTATAAAAATTTTGAAAATATAGTCAAAACAGGAAAATCGGTACTTACCATACTAAAAATGAAGTGCATTTTTCACAAAGTTCAGTCTCCCAACCCTTATCAATAAATTCAAATAATATTCTCAAGAAGTCTCACACATAAATAAAGGGCGGGTACATCAAAGCACACTCCAGTTCACTAGAAAGGAGGAAATTAAAGAATAAATATAAATATAAAAACAGATATGAAAAATCAGAGAAATTAAATAACACAGTCAATACTCAATATCGCAGTTTGAGCAGAAATGATTGTTATAATGTTAGGTTGCTGTATCGTGAATGCAAACGAATACTGTCATAGCCAAAAAAAATATTTGGGGGGGGGGGNTAGCCAAAAAAAAAATATTTTGGGGGGGGGATATATTTATCGACCATGTCAGCCTTCATTTTTGGAAAGGAACATGTCTTACATACTAGTGAATTGTAAATGTAATTTTGTAGCGGTAGACACACTACAGTACTCCCCCCCCCAGAATTATAGCTGTGACAGAATTCGATGAGCGGATACCACTGGTTGATTCATTGCTGTTTTGTGAGAAGTCGGGAGAGCTGCATTAAGATCACCCCACTTTTTAGGGTTGATAGTGAGAGTTGTATTAAGTTCATGATCGTGGTCGCTCATGTGTTGCCTTCAGCAGTAGAGTGAATACGTTGTGTGTGATCGAGACTGAGTAGCAACAGCTCGAGGTGGATATTGTAACAGTCACAAGTAGCAAGTCAACTGTTCAACTGTGGACCATCCATCGAAGTAGGCGTGTTCAAATCGAAGTGGGAGTTTCCTGTCCAAGCAGGCATGTTCACATCACGCCCGAGGTGGGGATATATTTATCGATCATGTCAACTTTCATCTATGAATAGGTACCCCAACGTAGAACCGAGTTAACATGTCTTATTTACTAGTGAGTAGGAACTGTAATTTTGTAGTGGTAGACACACTATATTTCCCTTTTATCATATTTTAGAAGCAGAAATATTTAGTACTAAGGCAACTTTTTCTTTTCATTAATATATCATAAAAGTGAAAGTTAAAATAATACTTATATATGCTCCATAATACCTTAGTATGCTCTGCCAGGGCTGCTATTATAGATAATTGACATACACCGAGTTAACTGAAAAGGCCAGATGCTTTAACCTCAAAAGAAACCACACAATTGGTCTGACATAGCACAAAAAGAGTGAATAAAATTTTTATATAAGAAAAGTATAACTGATAAATTTATTGCATCCTTTAAAAATAGTCATAAGCATTGTGAATTACAATAAATTACCACCACCTAGGATAAGAATTAACACTTAATATATACCTATTTTTATCATAGCCGGTCAAATGAACGGACTTTATGTTTCTTGATTGAATGTATGAAATGTGGACGTTAAGAAGGAAATAAATTAAAAAAAAATTTTATTATAATTAAACGAAATTATATATTGCCAATTTTTGTCCCAAAATATCCCATTGGAACTTGTCCGTCACTGCAATATGACTTTCTCTTTATCATTTCTAGTTAGCAACTAAAGAATATTTTGAAGAATAGAAGCAACTCTACTTGGATATCTCGATTCGGATGCCCTTCTATAATTACAACAGATCAAGGTTCTCAGATGCGATCATCTTTATATCGTGAGTTTTGTCAACTCTATACAGGTCCACATAAGGTTTTGAAGCGGTCAGCTAAAAACCTTACAATTCAACTAAATGGTAGGCAATCTACTGTGTCCATAGACCGTGTAAAGCCAGCATATTTGATTCCTACTACAGAGAAGGTTGAATCAAACTTACGGGTTATAAAACGTGGAATTTCCAAATCTTTACGTACAGAAAAAAATCATTCTCCCAAGGAACCCGACAAAATTTTGACTAGGTCTGGAAGACATGTACACTTTCCAGCAAAACTGGCAACTTATGTTAGTTATTAACATTATTAGCTAAGCAAGGCTGTTTAGCATAAAATATTATTTTCATTGATGTAAATAGAGTAATATTCAAAATTTTATGTGAAATATTATGTCGTTTCAGAGTATAATTCTCTGACACTGGGGGGATGCTCTGTAGTATTATTCTTAATCGATAATGAATCGATTAAGTAAGATGATTATAAATTATTTATTATATGTTGGATGGCAACAGTCTGGAGGAAAAAAGAGAACAGCTACGGTGAATAAATATTTGCTAACCTTCTGAATAAGTCTATCTTGTATTAAAATTATAAAACAACACTTTAATATACTGCGATGTGTTTTCTTGTTAATCGTATGTATATAAACCGCGATCCATTATTTTAAATCAAGTTAATGCAATTTTAAAATTCGTTTTACCTAGAAAGGAAAAAAGGTGAAATATGGAAGTTTTTTTCAGCCAATAGAAAAAGCAAAACTTTCTAACCCTGTCCACTTTGTCCGTACTGCAAGCAATTTTAACTAATTTTTCCGAACTACTTCCTTTTATTACGCATTGTTTAATCAAATGACCAATAAAAAGAAATACAAATAAAATTAAAAAAAACAATATGTAGTAACAAAAAATGCTTTAAATTTTATTTTTAATTACTCTTCGTTTTGCGCACAAAAAAATTTAAGGGTGGCCTTTATTTAAGGATGGGTAACTGAGATAGAAGAAGCAAACAAGATATAATGCTTATGGTTACATTCCACTCTATAGGTGGTTTTGAAAATCGGTTTATGTATTTTATGTAAAAATTTCAAAATTACCAAAAAATGAAGAAAAAATCAGTCGAAGACAGAAAAAAGTTCATAATTTCCAATTTCCTCTCTTTTTTTTGGTTCACTATATCCACAAAAAATAATATATGTGCATAGCAAGGCAAGGGAGCGAACATTTCGTTCACTATATTCAGAAGTTCACAATAAATTATGTTTACTATAGGGGGTTTGACTGTATTAAAAAACTAATCTCTATTATAACGGTGGTCTAACTAAATAACCTTGGATGCAAATAAAATAAAATATAAAAAGAATACCTTGAATCAACTTTCATACCTTGATTTTACTGTTACTATAACTTTTTTCTAATGTATTCTAGGGTTGTAGGTCAACAAAGCTGCCAACAAAGGACGAGCAGCTGGGAAGGGAAACTAAATAAAAAGCTTAAAAAATATAAGTTACATATTTAAGAAATATACAAATATGAAACAGAGTTTTCAATTACAATTATTGAAATAAATTTAACCTTTCTTCCAGCACTTTTACATTCCAGCTCATATTCTTCAAAGTTTTAAAACTTCTGATGAGTATACTTCCAAAGCTTCATTTAACTGATCAACCTATATGTGAAAATAAATGATTAATTAAAAAATAATTTAAACTTAACTGATGTAAATTAAAGTGAATACTACAGTCATTTGTACAATAACAACAGTTCACTTAGTAATAATTAATAGATTTTAGTTTATCAATTTAGTTGATAAACTAATCAGCTGGGGAAAAATTTCAATCCTAATGGTTCCTGAGGGTGACTTCAAATATCCTAATTAACCAGTTCAGACATTTCAAGTTACGAACTGAGACAAAATACAAAAGTGTCCTGTTTCTGAATAGCCATATATTATATAACGTATATTCTAAACACAGGGTGCGTAGACAAATCTTTCAACAAAAAATAAGCACCTTTTAAGCACTATATACATTAACAAAATGCAAAATAAATTTCAAAGATTTTACATGATCATAATAATATAACTAGTTTCTGACAAAGAGCTCTTTTTCTTGACTATATTAACCGTTATAAAATGATTAAGAAACTTTTAGGTTCGATATCAGAGGGCGGAAAATGAAGCCTGAAATTGAGAATATCTTGCAAAATGCAGCAGAGTTTCAAATGAGAGTGCAAGAATCTCTCCGAACCCAGCTCAGTCGACGCACATGCGGAATCGCAAGTATTTCATCAAACATGTAAAACGATTGACGCTTTTATACGCCATGGACCAATGGTACGCCGAAATGTAATGTGGTTAAATGAATTGTAAAAACGTTGAATGGAACAATGTGGAAAGCAAGCTTTTGCATCATACGTGATGAAAATCGATATGGTAAAGAAGAAAAAAAATCTTATTTTCGAAAAGGGAAAATTAAGCACTTTTTAAAAACATCCATTACAAAAAGCACCTGTAAGGGTGTTTAAAAAAGAATATCGAAAATAAGAACCTTTAAGCACTTTTTAAAAACGATACACAAAATGAAACATATTTCTGAATAAACATATATTATATAAGCATATATTACATACAATAAATATTTGTCAACAAATATTATTTCTATAAACCATTGAGCCAGAACAAAATATCCCATTGGAACTTGTCCGNTTTCAAAAATAAACAGCAATTGCTGCTTCTAAATTAGAGATGCAACATACAAATATTTGGTATTTAGCCTATACTGCTGAACGCAGAATATTCATTTCGGACGAATATAGGAAGAGGCGTCAGCGGAAGACAAAACTTAATTTGCTCACATCCATCTTTATTTTTTTCCCCTTGGGAAGAGTTTATTCGATTAACAAAACAATAACGAAGATAAACAAATTTTTGAAAGGTCAGATTAAAAGAAAAATCATTTTGTAAAGGGTCCGTTAGCAGACCCAAATTTCTTCTAAGCAGACACTTGATTTATAGAAAAATTTAAAAATTTCAATCTTACCACTGTAGAAATTTGTAAGCCCAACAAACAATTTCGGCTCTACCTTCATCGATTAAAAGGAAACGGCTAAAACTAACTTTCATCCAACATTCTTCTTATTTGTCTTCGAACATCATCGGCAAAAAAATTTCATTTAGTGTACTGATCCATTAAAATTATGGCCAAAACAAATTTTAGCAACCTTTCCCCTTCTAAAAACCACAATTGTAAATGAATTTGTTGGCAAACCAACCAAAAATGAGTGTACAAAAAATTTTTTAGCTTTCTCTTTGCCTAGTAAGTAAAATGTTTCATCTTGTAGGAAATCGTAGTTCCAATTTGGTTTGATAAAATTTATTGTCTAAAGTTCTTTTTGTCTTTCAGATTTTGCACATTTGCTCTTGCCACGGCATTTGAATAGTTATAGACTAGGACTGTTCAGAATGTTTTTTGTGTCTCAAGTTCACGGAGTTTATTCAAACTCTCTTTAGCACGTGTTGAAAACTACAAATTTGAAGTGTGCCTTCAAACGTTAAATTTTATTAGAAAATATTTAGAGCTGGTAGCTTAGCAAAAATTAGCATCAATTCTCCTACCAATACAAAAAAAAGTCTTAACTTTTTATACCCAGGAAACACTAGACAGAATTCTACTTCCAAATGTTAGCTCATTGTAGTAATTCGTGACCCAACAAAAAAATAGATCGAATTTTGTCCTACGTCAGCACTACTTATAACCTTCTTCCCCCATTGCTAGAAAAAATAAACAAACCACAAAGCCCTTTTCTTTATATTTGAAAAACCCGAAAATTTCTGAATAGGTAATTAAAATTCTTACCAGAACTATCATGCAGAGGAAAATACTTTTCCTCTTTTTCATGTCAAGACACGTCCTAAAAAAATACTGCTTAATTTACAACATTGCTCATGCATTATGTGCATAATTTATTTATAATATTTTCCCCCTTGCCGTTAGACTAACCGTAGGAGATTTTCGTGGTTTTCCTCTTCATAT